AGAGCTGGAGGTTGCTGTAAGCTGTGATGCCACGGTAAGCTGTAATGCCACGGCACTCGGCCGAGGGCAACAAAGTGAGACTGCCTCTAACAAAAGAAAGAAAAAGAAAAGAGATAGATCCTCACTACCTAACACTCCTGCCAGGTTTTCCCAAAGTTTAAAATTGTTGGTTCCAGTGTTTTCTGTCTTGGAAATGGAATCAGTTTCAGTTAGCACTGATCCATGAAATTAAAACTCCCTTTTAAAAACCCTGGAGTACTTCACTGGTGGGACTCCAACTAAACTTTCAAGTAGCCAGGAACTAATGGAGGAACTTTGGTGTAATGAAAGTGACAAAAATTCACCCACGTTGTCTTAAACAAGGGACTTGACTACAAATATCAATGGCAGTTTTCAAAAAGATTTAGCTTTCTGTGGGAAGTAGAGAATATATACCCAAATCTCAAATGAGAATCAAACATAAACCACCACCCCATGCAGAGAGCCCCCAGTAGTTGGGAGTACACACATGGGTTCTAACCTGAAACCCAAGGAGAATAACTACTTATAGTCACACTGACAGTGATTTGCTTGTATACGCTACTTTGTTCACAGGTGACATCTTTACGTACATGTTCTGCCAAAACTTAAGAGGGATTCTAGAGGCTGTGGCCATCTAATTTGAATCAAATATGCTATGCTTGTTTCTGACCCAATACTAGTTTTATTTTTACTTGGCATTTAAATGGGCTATTTTCTTTTCTTGAATAATATTAATGGGGGACCAAGACATTTAAATTAATGTTTTCACATCAAAGAACCATTGTCAGAACAAAGTTCCCTTGTAATGGCCCTGTCTTGAGTGAAATTTTAATTAGGATAATTATGTGCAAGGAGTAGGGAAGAAAAAGGACGAGGCAATGAACACATGCATTCTGATGAAGGGGCAGTGAGGCAGATGTGCAACACAGCTGAGGAGAATTCATAGATTAAAACTATTCAGAACTGCTAAGCAGCCTCCTGTACCACATAAGTCCAGTAGTTCTAAGAAAATACAGATATGGTAGAAAAAGTAAGAAAATTTTCACCACAAAACCAATAGTTACTACTAACAGAGAAAGTTATACACAAAATATATCTCTCAATACAGTGATCACACCTCATCTTAGTCAACTGACTCGATGCCTGGAGCAGAGCCCGTGCATGGGGCCTTTGGCTTCTCGCTCGCTGCCTTGGGCTCGGCTGCCAGGTGCACCCCGGGGGCCCTTTTCCAGGAAGCGTTCCGCTCCTCATGAGGATCCAGGGCAGGGCATGGCTGCATCCCAGGTGTTGCTAAATCCCCATCCGCTGCTTTAACAGAGACCTGCTCTTTCAGGACTTCGACCTTCTCGTTGAGCTCATTCCTTTCTGTTTGAAGAGCCCTGCACAGCTTCTCTAACCGTTCCAGTTTTATTTGAAAGGCCTTGTACTCTTTATCACGGACTGTTTTCTGTAAGAAAAGAGATGGGACTTATGTAACCTCGTGAAATACAAATCAGGTTATTACATAAAAATAAATAAGCTGAGCTGTACTGGTAACTGTTTCCTCACCTGTCAAACATGTTCGGTTTCTTTAGACTCCTAACACTCTAGCAAGCTAGCTTCCCGGCATACATTTCTAAGTATACGAAAGGATAGTTAACATAATACTGTTCTTAGAGTGGCAAAATTAAGTTCTCCCTTTGTCATGTATTTTTTAAAATCCACTTTTTAAGACAGTTCACATTAAGGAAATTAAAGCTATTCCTCCCAAAGGCTAGCGGACAAACTTAAGGGCTTTTAAAAACACAATGACTCATTTCCATATAATTCTCTTCTGTTGTAATTTTTAGATAAGAACAAAATTTCTCTCTTCTGAAATGTTACAAACCAGACCTGTAAAGTTTATGAAGGTGTGAAATTCAGTGACAGCAAGGTATACATTTCAGCTTTAAAAAACTGGCAAAAAGTACTGTGTTGCTTTTTTTAAAGATTAAATCTAGAAAGATAGGCCCCTGAGTTGCCTATCTTTGCTGTGCACTCTCACTGTGAAGTCTGACCTACGCTTCCCTAGGTGTGAGCCCTGGATCCACTGCATGGGCATCTCCTGGATGCTTGTTAAAAAGGCAGATTCTCCCACCCCCCAGACCCAGTGAGCGAATCAACCTGTGGGTGAAGTCTAGAAATCCTGCTCCTAACAAGCCAGAGCTGGATGCAAGCTCTCAAGTTTGAGAAACCACTGCTATAGAAGAAAGCAAAACCTGGATGTCTTAACCATTCTCCAGCACAAGCCTGGGCTAATTAACCAGGTAGTAAGCAGCTCAATCCCTCCCTCGGGGCCTTACACTTAGACCTAGCTTAACTACCAGGAAGACCATCAGAGACTTGCAGTAACTCCCCTCTCACCCCAACTCTGGCTGGAGTGAGTACCCAACTATCACAACATGTCCCTGTCCTGATAGGTACCTGAATTTCTAAGTCCCCATGACTAAGACTATACCTTAGTTGCAGGAAACCATCTCACCTCTTCAGCCATCTGCAGAAGTGCTTTATTATTGTTTTCCCATTTGGTACGCCATATTATCGTTTCTTTTTCCAGTTTTTTAATTTTCTTTGTCATCTGTGAATCAACACAATTGCAAATTTAAATTCCAAGTTCTACTTCTCATCGCTACACTCTGTCCCACCATACAAAAATGTCTTCATGTCCTGCCCCTGCAACTGCCACACCCAGCTGACAGCTGTGCATGTCTGTCCCTAGCAGAGCTTATCTCAGAACCTCCTAGGGATGGAACCAAAGAAGGGTTTGTGTTATGAGAAAAACAAATTTAATCTCAATTCCAGAGGCAACAGCACACTCTGAACTCAATGTTAAGACTGGAGATAGCAAGAGACAAGTCCTCCTGCTCCCCAAGTTGTATGAAAAAATGTCCATGATTTTGAGTTTTCTGTCCATTAAACTAATTCCTCAGATTCTTGGGAGGAATGACTTTCAGCCCCATACAAGATGAAGAACTGATGCTCTGCCAGGACCTCCAAGACCACATCAGCTTTGGAACCAGAGGCAGCATAATTTAGTAAGAGGCCAAGAAGAAGTACTTAACCCTTGAGCTTTGGTCATCCTCACAACCCATAAGTCTGTTTTACTTCACATTTTGCTAAAGTGAGTCCAAAAACCAGGAACGTGTTCTTAAGCCTATGCTCCCAGGACACAGCTGTCAGGAATTCAGAGTTAAAGTTATCTATGCCCATCAGCCACATTCTCAGTATCCTTCATCCAGCACTGACTGTGAGCCGGCTCTGGCCAGAGTCCAGGCACTGAGCCAGCTGCTGTTAAGGAAAACAAGGATAAGACGGAGCCAATGCCCTATGCCTTAGGTAATTACAGAACTGTAACACAAGGCAGAGTGAGGCAAAGGCCGTGGGAAGATCTGGGTTTAGAGCTGATCCACAGTACAGTCCCAGAGGATTCTCCAAGATAACAAATTTGGGAGTCTCTTTCTAAAACTATGTTCCACTTCAACAGTGAGCCTGTACTAGACTCCAGCTGACACTTCTGCTGTGCCTAACAGCTCCCCCTCGACCGGAGTCTGAAAGGTCTGGCACACAGAACTAATCTGCTGCTCGTGGAATTCTCCAGATTACTAAGTCTAAAAATACCTAAAGGTGGTAATTTGAGCATCCTTCAGTCACATGATAATTGAGCACATGTTAATGTGCCAAGCACGGTCTGAAATACTCTATTTTATAAAGGGTAGGTCAGTCTTTGTATCATTTTTAATGGTGAAGGAACAGCAAGGCATGGAAAAGTTAAATAAACTTGTCCATAGTCAGACATGATATGGTACAATTGGGACATCGATTCAGAGCACATGCTCCAAACCACTAGCTAGTAGTCGTGACTAACATCTGCTGAATTGCTGACAAGGTACCAGGCACTCCTTTCTTTCTCCTAACCCAATATCATTTTTTTTTAAAGTCCTCCATTTTGAGGGGAAGAAGCCAAGTAAAATAAGGGTAAATGGGTGAGTGGCTGGATGTATATGTATAGAATTACAGATTTTGGTTCTTAGGTTACATCAAGGATAGCTCCTTAACGTGGACAAGAAAAAGCAATAAAAGCCTGTGAACTGGTTTGGTTAGGGGAGAAAGAATTCAGTGAGAGTGAAGTTAAGAAAAGCTAAAAAACTCAGAAGCACTGATATATCTATCAATTAATGAAAATAGGTATTTATTCTTGTGGGCTTGAGTATCTTTAAATAATTTCATTTCCCAGGACAGAGTTTTGTGAAAAGACTGAGGAGTGATCCTCAAAGTTATAAAAACTAACCAAACAACAAATTAAAAAAAACACCACTTTTTATTTATTTATTTATTTTGGAGACAGTGTCTCTGTCTCCCTGGGTAGACTGCTGTGGTGTCATCATAGCTAACAGCAACCTCAAACTCCTAGGCTCAAGCGATCCTCTTGCCTCAGCCTCCCAAGTAGCTGGGACTGTAGCTGCATGCCACAAGGCCCAGCTATTTTTTTTTTTTTTTAAGAGACAGGGTCTGGCTCTTGCTCAGACTGATCTCTAACTCCTTTAGCTCAGGCAATCTACTCACCTCAGCCTCTCAGAGTGCTATGATTACAGGTGTGAGCCAGTGCATTGGCCTCCCCCACTTTGTTTCTAGTAAATTATACTTAAAAGAGGATTTCATTGTAATGGAGATAGAATTAATTCTACAAGCACAGACATCATTAGCTACTGGGGGTACTTTGAGGGCAAAATGACTGAAAATGCCACTGGAGGATCAGAAAAGATAAAATGAAGACAGCATTATAACTCATCTAAGAACAGGTGCCGTGGCTCGTGCCTATAATCTCAGTACTCTGGGAAACCAAGGCAGGCAGATCACCTGAGCTCACAAGTTTGAGACCAGCCTGAGAAGAACAAGACTAAAAATAGAAAAACTAGCCGGGCATTGTGGCAGGCACTTGTAGTCCCAGGTACTTGTGAGGCTGAGGCAAGAGGATCACTTGAGGCTT